TGGCTATTTTAATCCTAGCCATGCGGTGAGAATAAAATAATCATTTTTGGGGACTATATGTTGATGAGCTTTTTGTCATTGTTGTAGCCTGAAATCTTTCCTGGCTATTTTAATCCTAACCATGTGGTGAGAATAAAATAATCAGTTTTGGGGACTATATGTCCATGAGATTTAAGTCATTGTTGTTGACTGAAATCTTTCCTGGCTATTTTAATCCTAACCATGCTGTGAGAATAAAATACTGTAAATTCATTTTTGTTCGCGGGGGATAATTACGCGTTAGAAAAAGGAAAGGAGATTTTTGCGGTGTTTTACGTTCGCGGTTGAAACAATACTTAAACATGGTAGTACATTTACAGTGCCTTTACTAAGGTTACAAGATTCCTCTTATATAAGTCACTGCAAAGGTCATGGACAGGCTTAGCTGCTAGTACACAATATTGTGGCAGTATGCCGCTATAGATGCATGTCTTCCACAATTGTCTTATTACCTTCGCCAAGAAGGTTATGTTTTCAGTAGCGTTTGTCCGTCTGTCCGTTTGTCTGTGAACAGCATAACTCAAAAAGCTTAATATGGATTGTCATGAAACTTGTGTGTATGTGGGTAGGTCTTGAAGAGACTTAGAAATGATTAGATTTTGGGCCCTCTGGCGGCTTTTGTTGGTACTGCAGCAGAACTTCCGGTTTTGATATATTGCGATCTAGACATGCTAGGGTCACGAATTTTGGTTGGTAAATAGATCGTGGGGTAGGGAAGAAGTGACATGAGTTTGGGCCCCCTAGTAGCTTGTTCTGGGACTGCAGGAGCGTTTTTTCAAAAATATCCGAAGGTGGATAACTCAAGAACCAGTCGACGGATTGTCATGATTTTTGGTAGGTAGGTAGCTGAAGTGATGCTTGATATAATCAGATGACAATTATGCAAATCATGAACTAATTTGCATAATTAATGAGGAAATTATTTAAATCTGCTTCGTTCGATGATAGGACTATGAAACACTTGTGACATGTAATTGTAACGAGAAAAACATCTGAGGATATATATTATGTAAATGAAGACCTAATTTGCATACTTAATGGAAAATTGTTATAATTTCATAGTTGTAATTGCTGGGAATTTCATACTTGCCGCATTTGGAAGTTAAGTGAATTTCGAAGGTGAACATCAATGAAGTTAATTTATGACCTCATTTGCATAATTTAGGAGGAAGTGCTGGAATAGCCTATTTTGTTAAGATAAGGCTGTCAACGGGTGGAGAATATGATCAACTGATGTAATCCATGCAAATGACGCCCTTATTTGCGAAAACAATGATTAAAATTGTATTTAAAAAATTCGTCAACCGGAAGGGTTAACATCATTTGGCGAAGGTATGAGATCGTGGAACTCTTGTTTCACATGCAGAGAAACCGCGGCGCGGTTCTTGTTGAGAATAGATAGAGAAGAAGGATCAAATAGCGCGGTTCTTGTTGTGGAAACAGTAGAGAAGAAGGTCAAATAGCTGGTTTATGAAGACTCTCCTGATATGTATCTAAATGAGTGAAGCAAGTTCGAAAGTTCATCTGGATTTACTAGTAAACAAACGTCCGTGCCATCGCAGCCGATACAATCGCGCAGCGTCCTTGTCATGGGTTTTCCATATGACGTTAAAAATGTGTCTCGTGATGTTAAATACTACATATAGCACAAAAAGGTGTTCCTGGTTGGAAGTGCAGTCTTGAATCAGCACCATCGGTTTTGTGAACAGGTGTTAGTCGGTGATCGCCTTGCAAAACATACACCCAGTACAGAAAAAAATCTTATAGACTAAGAATAATCTTTCAAAAATGCTAATGAATAGGCACAGTCTGCTATTAATAACCTCTAATAATAACCTCTGATAAGTGGACTACACTGCAGTATGATTAAAATGAACCAGGCAACAGGCCAACTCGCGCATTTCCGCCAAAAGCCCGGGCAAGCTCCAAATAGACTGGTTATCCAGCTGTACTACTAAAACAAATCATATTCGCGATGTCATGACTTTGCGATGGAGCGGTCAACGCGAATACCGCGAAAATAAAACCACCACGAACATTACAAGATTTACAGTAATCAGTTTTGGGGACTATATGTCGATGAGCTTTTAGTCATTATTGTAGACTGAAATCTTTCCTGTCTATTTTTATCCTAGCCATGCGGTGAAAATAATATAATCGGATTTGGGAACTATATGTCGTCGAGCTTTTAGTCATTATTATGGACTGAAATCTTTCCTGTCTATTTTAATCCTAACCATGCGGTGAGAATAACAAAAAATTGGGGGACTATATGTCGATGACATTTAAGTCATTATTACCTCCATGAAAAATGGAGGTATTGTTTTTAATTTGGCGTGTCTGTGTGTGTGTTTGTGTTTCCGCACATTTGCAGTCAGCATAACTTCATAACGCCTTTATGGATTATGATGATATTTGGTATGCTGGTAAGTCTTAGGAAGACAAAGGTCAAGGTCAAATATGGGTCTCTTGGTGGATGGCCTTGGTACTGCATCAGAACTTCCGGTTTTTGTATCTTTTGTCCTGAACCAACTATGGTCTTGATGTTTTGGTGACAGATTGCTTTTCCTATCAGAAATAAGTGGTGTGAGTTTGGTCCTCCTAGCAGGTTGTTCTGGAACTGCAGGGCACTTTCTTGCGAAATGTTGAAAAGCCAATAAGTCCAGATAGGAACAACATATTTTCATAATTTTGGGTCTGTAGGTAGCTGAGAGAGTTATCGTATTGAATGAAAGTCACATAAAAGTCACATTGCCATCATTAATTGACTTTTACTAGCAGAAATATATCTTCCAAGAATAGAGGACGAGTTACTAGTATATTAATATACTGCATAAATAAAGGAGAAACTAGTATATAGATGTACCGCAAGGATTTAGGGGACCAACTAAATATACTACATGAATAGAGTCATTACTACCAAACGTTCAAAAATCACCAAATATATTTCTCTCGTTAATTTTGAATCTAAAACAAAAATAATCTAAGTTTTGTTACCTCAATGTCAACCTTATTAGCAATTTGTGCCATTGTTCCATGGTTAAACAGTGCAGCAACTTACCAGATTGAAAAAAATATTCCTAAACTTTATTGACCATTTTCACAATATTCAAAAATGTGGCTTGTATTTGCGAGCTACGTCTTTTTGTTGTGATGTATGTATGACGAGTTTTGTGATAAATTCTTGTCTGTTACCGTTTTTTTTTTCGCCACATCAAACATAGATTTTTACTCTTGCCAAATAGTTTTCACTTCCTACGACTACATTGTACTACTCTGCAGTTTTCTTATTAGGACCATTTTCTCCCTCAACCCATCATAAGTTTTTTTTTTTTGTACCGACAGTAGATTATTGCCTCTCTCTATCGCTTTTATCGCTCAAGCTTGTCCTGTCTTATTAGAGAGCTTTGTGTAATGCTAGTCTAAGACAGGTTAGGAATAGCATACAGGGGGCGATCTGCGGCGCTTGGTCCCTCTTCTCCCGGCCGACTATGAGTGTGGGGTGTTGCTCGTTTTGTTTAGCGCATGAGAAGCTAAGAAAACAATTTTCCCCAGGGAAAGACTGGGAAGGTCACTGGTAGGTCACTTTCAAAGTACTTGGTATGCCATGGGTAATGTCAACACGAATGATCTACCTGTGTGATGCCATGCCCCAAGACTATAGATAAATGGAGGCGCTGCGCTTGGATGCACTCGGGGAAGTTGTAGTTCTTTGTTCTCAAGTGGTCCATTACTGAGAAGTTCAGAGACTAGGTATGTACTTTAGCCTTTAATCTGATTTTATCTAGCGTGGCGTAGCGAAAATCCGGATGGTACCCAGGCTATGTGTACTTGGTATTTCATGCGTTGTCAACATAATTTACCTGTACGGTTATGTAAGCGTAACTTATCCAACCGACCGGGAAAAACAAGGTCTACGAAGTCGGAGAGACAACAGACTAACATGACTATATGTCGTCGAACTTTCAGTTATTCTTCTGGACTGAAATCTTTCCTGGCTATTTTAATCCTAAAAGGAAAACACTTTATAGTACTCAAGAACAAGGGAGGCTTGGGCTACGAAAATTAGTATCCGTAGCTATATACTCCACCCGAAAAGCGCCCTGAAAGTTAGGGTAGAATTTGGGGTCTGTGTCAAAGAGTTAATTTTGTTGTTCATTGTTATAGAGAGTACAATTTGAGATAAAATGCGTTACTTTTTTCACCGTATTCAACGCAATGTGTTTTATATTCTGTTAGGATATAATATTTAGTGGAAAAATAGGGACATGATATCGATACATACCTGTTTGATTCTTTCTGGGTTGCACTATAAGATTAGTTGTGGCTAGTAAACCATTGCATGAATATATTGTTATGATATCTAAAAACAACTGTGTATGAGCATATTGGGACTCGATATTCTGTATAATAATCAATGGGAAGAATTAAAATGATACATGCCTGTTTGATTTTTTTTCTTACTATTTAACTCTATTTTGTGTTTTTACCTCCATGAAAAATGGCGGTATTATTTTTGGCGTGTCTGTGAGTGTGAGTGTGTGTGCGTGTGTGTGTCTGTGTGTGTGTGTGTGTGTGTGTGTGTGTGTCTGTTTGTGTTTCCGCACATTTGTAGTCAGCATAATTTCAGAGCGCCTTTATGGATTGTATCTATATCTGTATAGCCGGTATAACCACCTTTCGGCGTAACACACCAGCTTCTGTATCTGTATAGCCGGTATAACTGCCCTTCGGCGTAACACACCAGCTTCTGTATCTGTATAGCCGGTATAACCACCTTTCGGCGTAACACACCAGCTAGTCAAATGTAATGAACAGAACAGGTGGTTACTTCTGCGCATGCTTACTTCATGCGAACACGGCACGTCTACATATTGGCATGACAGGGCAGGTTTCTTTCAAGTTCTTCCAGGCTTAAGAAAACAGGATAGGTGTGATCATGCATCCGGTGGCCGTGACCATGAACCTGTAGCGGCTTGACTTTCGAAGCTATAAAAGCGGGTGACTTTAGCCACGCCGGCAGTTTGCGGGGAGACGACGAGTCGTGGCTCCAGATCAAGACACCGACTTCTCGCCACCGACGGCCACTTCACCTTGACCAACTTCGCCAAGACGCCACGCCACCGACGGCCACTTCATCAAGGCCAACCAACTTCATCTTGACCAACCAACTGCAAGGTGAGATACGGAGATCGGCATGTTGCATAGTACAGTTTGGTTGCAATTTTGGGGCAGCGGCTTTATTTTTTGGGGGGGAGCGACGCGAGTTATGCCGCGAATGGACGGTTTTGCCGCCGAAGGAGAGATTTCTCACCACCAGGAAAAAAAAACTCTTTCCCGGCAAACTCCCTCGGCGGGAAAACCGTGATCCGACCGCGGCATAACTCGCGTCGATCCCCGAAAAACAATTAACGCCGCCGCCCCACAGGTCTGCGTAGGAGGCTAACAAGGTAGCACCTAGCCTCCTTCGCAGACGTATGGGGCGGCGGCGTTTATTTTATTTTTTCGGGTAGTGACGCGAGTTATACCGCTGAAGGAGTGGTTTTGCCGCTGAGGGACTTTGGACTTTGCCGAGGAGAAAGGGTTTTGCCACCTAACGCCCCCATGTCTTCAAAGGAGGCTAGATAGCACCAACTTTCGTCCAGGCACGGTCAACAACGACGCTGGCGTCAAATCCCACCGCCCCCCCCCTCTCTGTCGCAAATTTTCGCCTTTCAGAACGGCAGTCGCCTGTCGGAAAAAGATATCAGTGAAAAAAGCACAAGCTCGGATTCGAACCGGGTCAGAAAGCGTAGCTTTAAAACCATAAACTTTAACCTAACTCTCTAAGTCACAAAACATCAAGGAGTGGATGGGCTGAGCTCATTATACTTTTTAAAGTATATCAGCTCGCTTCTCTTATGGCCCTGGCCTGTCGTACATTCACGACCTTCCCATGAATTTGTCCCGAATACCAGGCGGCCAGGTTCGGCTGGCGTTCGGGAGCAACCTTTATAATACCAAATGTAGGCCACTCCGACCTTTCTATTTGAATTGAAATGAATTTGAGTTAAATTGAGTCAAGTATGCCCCAACCCCCCCGAACATCTCCCGAACACTGCTGACTTACTCCATAATGACAGGCTGGTGTTCTGCTGACACTCGAATTTTTTTTTAACATTTTTAAACATTCGGAATAGTAGCCGAATTCACCGAACACGAGCCAAATTTTGCGCCGACCTACACCTAACCATGGTTCCGGAGACCATGAATGTGTGACAAGGGCGGGAGAAAAATCAACAGAATGTGTGGCACTTGACAACAAAATCAGCGACAAATATTTAGCCTCCGACACGCTCGAGTTCTAGTTCGGCCGCGGTGGGACGGTTTTGCCGCTGAGTGAGTTTGCCGCGAAAGAGTTTTTCACAGTTTTTGGCTGGGGAAAAGCTCTCTCCCTCGGCGTCAAAAATCGTTCCTCCGCAGCTTAAATCGATCGCGTAGCTCCCTAAAAATAATTAACGCCGCCGCCCCACATGTCTGCAAAGGAGGCTACCAAATATTTAACATTTTGTACACTCTTCAGTGAAGCTTGCCCTGTTTCTACTTGAAAGCGGAAATGTTTTATTGATCTTCTTACGTGGGTATTTACCGGTATCGTTGTACTTTTTTACAAGTTGATGCAGATTTTTCAAACTGTTACAGTTGTGGCTAGTCTCTTCGGTTGATTGGAGCCCCATTTTAAAGTCATTTTACTGCTGTTGTGTAATTTAAGTATAACGTGAGGATAAAAAGCCATGTGTCATGTGAAAAGATACAGATACGATGTACAACGTATTATACGTTGGCTGCGAAAATTCGACGGCACATACATGTTGTACATTTTGTAGTCAATCGCCGCGGTATGTTACTCTGTAGTGTACAGTCTATCTCTGTCAGTCTTTTGTCTTCTTTTAGTGATCCCAAGTAATTACCAAATTTTCCCCGTCGTTAGTCTCTGTGTCTTTTGACAGGTTCATTAGATAGTATGTCAAATGAGCCCTCCAAAAAATGGACCAAGTCACTGCCCGCCCTCCCCCTATCAAGAAGATACGTGAACAAACATGGCACAAGAACTGATTCTGCAACGTTCTTTTTAATTAAAAAAAATACGATACAAACATACTCCAAACTATCTTAGAGCGGAATTTATACATAACCTTACTGTAACGACGAACATATCTTTACGATTTACAGTGATAGTGGCAGCTTATAACGGATCGTCCATATTTGCAGATAAAACTCCGTACGTAAAAAAATGTATTATACTGTAATCACACGTCTACTAGGACAACATTCAACAGAAATTCACATAATCCAAAAAATTCTATTCGCTAGTATTGAATCTCATACCTCTTCCGCACAGGCTTTTCTTCGGGGCTATCTACTCGGTCTACAGTAACTTTTCAGTCTTGTTGCCGCGTATGCTGTTTCCGTGCCAAAACGTACAACAAAGAACTTCTGGGGTAGGCATCAAAAACAAGTCCGTAACTACAGAAAACGCGGACGGTTTTTCTCCAAAGAGGTCTCAGAATAGTCCGTGAAATTCCACCTGCAAAACTACGTAGGATATAGCCGTTTAAAAGATCGTCTAGCGGCCCAAATGTTGCCGCAAAGCGCACAGCGTCCTTCGGTAGCATCCACGCCGTCCGCCATTTTGGTCACGGTGTTTTGGTTTGGCCACGGATTGTTTGGGCTCTTCTTTTTACTGGTCGTATCCCCTGCCTGTTTTTCTAAATCGCGGCTCAGTCTCAGTATGTTTGTTTTTTTTAGTCGCACGTCTCTCGTGCACTTCTACCGGTTGGAGATTGTCTTCTGTGAATGCACTAACGGTGCGTGATATTCCTTTTTTGTACACCATTCGTAGTGGATTCCTCAATTGCCTCTTTTCCATGGTGTCTTTAAACGTACTTGCAAAGTTAACGATGTCATCACTAATATAAGTCGTGGTCGCTCCCAGCATCCGAGCCTGGGAAAGTAGGGTTCTCCCTAGGTTTGGACAAGACAGGTGTTTTTACGCAATAAGGATGAAGTTGATCATAATACTCTAGCAGCCTTAGTCCTCTATTATTTGCTATTCCCAGGTCATGTTTACCAACTGTGTCATGCTAATCTTTGTACGCATTATACGCAATCTTTATACACATGAGTCCCTATTTTCCAACCACCGAGCAATATATTATTTACCTTCGCCAAGAAGGTCAGGCCACACCGACTTAATTTTATGGATGACATCCTCTGAAGTCACCCAAACTAGCGCGCGCGGGCGAATAAAAGAAAAATCCGGCCAAAAATAAAAATGACATCACATGAATACAAAAGCTGGTGTTGTGAATTTACGGCAGTGCATATATACGACGTATACGACAAGCCGGCACATGCTGGCTTTGGCACTGTACGTATGTACTGAGGTGTCGATGAAGGTTAGACATCCAGGTAATACGATATGCCAAAAAACAGTTACTCAAGCAACTGGATATGATTTTGAAAACGTCAGACGTTTCAGCTAGTATCCACTAGCTTTCGTCAGTGACTGAGAGACCAGAGGGGAAAGCAGGTTTATATACACAACCTGTTGATTGATATGCAAATAAAGTGAAGACAATTTTTTTGGAAGTCGAAAAAGGAACAAAAGTCAGACAAGTCAAGACAAGATGATGCAAATTAGTCTGAAAGCTCCTGTTATACAGGACAGGAGCTTAAGTGTTGTCTGTCCTCGGGGCTGGGAGTGCCAAA